TTCTCTAAAAAGAGGCCCTGATTTTTTTATTCTTAGAATGAGTGGAATGTTTAGTGTACACGGGTGACTGTGTAGAAAACAACCAAAGAACTTCAAGACATCGTCACTCTTTTTTTTTTTTTTATTTCCCCAGTTAGAAAAATAGGTTGAAGGACTGAGAACCTAAATCCATCACAGACTGAATTGAGTTAGATGAGTAAGTTTTTAGTAAATCTTGGAGTAATTCTCTTTCAGTAAGCTCTAGGACTGCTACAAATTCAATGAAAAGTCTAAGCAACCCTATTCCTCATCTCCAAAAGGCTGTGGGCATCAAACTGTATCTCCCAAAAGTTCAAAGACCAGCACTGCAGACACTCCCACACACAAATTAAAATCATGTTGGTGTCTTGAGTAAGGAACAGTACATGTGGTTGAGGTATGACCGTTTTTACTATGTCTTTGGCCCAAAATAATAGCATGATTTTAGAAGACAATGCACTTTAGAAATTTCAGATCAGCATATAGCACTCCTCAAATTCAGCAAAAATGATTTGAGAGAAAAATACTATGAATAAAAGGCCACCACATGTTGAATTTGTGAATTTAGCCCCTAGCTCTGTATAGTAACTATGTTTGATGCTTACCTTTTCTCTCCTGGCAGAGAGTCTTAACACTGGGCCAAGCCCAATTCTGATGCCTTTAAAATATGATCCTTAACCTTTAAATTTGATTTTGTTGTAGCTGTTTTTGTTTTTTTTCTGAACACAGGAAATACATGATTTAATACTTATTACAGCCAGTGTATAATTGTTGGTATTTTCTTTTTCTGTTTTAGATTCGACATTAGAAAAGAGTTGAGTGGCAAATGTTAATCGTTCATCTTCAGATATTGGAGGAATTTTATCTAAGTTTTCAGTTGTTTACCAAAGATGGGAGAGGGTGGTGATAAAAAATATTAAAATCTTCTGATATCTCGCTCTTTCTTGTGTTTACTGTACCAAGGTACTTACTGTGTCACTCAGGGTTCAGCCACAACATGAGAAAGCATACCACTGAGGAGACCGTGAGATACCGACAAGATGGTGCAGCTATTGCTGTAGCACTAGAGGTCAAAGAGAAGGAGTTGGGGGGGGCTTCAAATCTAAAACTCTGCCTGGGTCCTCTGGTTCTATGCCTCGAAGCTCTGAGGTAAAGATACCTCCAACTTGGTACTGGAACGTCTGGTGGAAAGCCAGTGAATGGAGACTCCAACTCTGAGGGCGAGTGGTTTGTATGCGGTGCTGCGGTCTCTTGGCTGATTGACAATGATTGGGTGCTTTTGAGGGTTTTTAGATATCAGTAGCAATAATGAGGGCCTAAAGCGCTACTAAGCAGCCAAGGAGAAAGTTGTTACTGAGGGCACGCTGACATCAACAGCAACCACTCTGTTCTGCCAGATGTCAAGGCTGCCTCTGGGACACCTATTGGCAGAAAGCAGTAGTGAGAAGACTAGCCTAGAAGAAATGTGATGTGGAGACTCCCATTCTCCGTGTGATTAAGCAGAGTAAAGAGAAGGGGGTTTAGAATTGATAGATGGGAATTAACACCCACGTAATATCTGAGAGCTGTGCCTTTGCTCAGGAAATGCAAAGAGACCAATGCCATGAGAAACAAATGACTTAAATTGCACAAAACCATGAGAAGTAAGAATATACTAGGAATTACCACTAATAATTAATTTTTATATACACTATACACTATTATTAACCTGTAGACTATTCTATCATTGGCCTCTGACACATGTAGTGATATATCATCAGGATACTAGAAACATACAAAATTGTATTCAGAAGTTGGTTTATTTTCTAAAATTGTAAAGTTTGGTATTTTTTTTTATTGAGACCCACGTTTTTCTGCCTATTTCTACGATGAAATGGGAACATTCGGATTTCCTTGCTCATTTGAAGAGGGAGCACCTTCTTTCCCTTACTCTGGTGTAATTTGAGCAGGGGGAATGGGAATGCTTTCTGCTCCTTGCTCAGGTCACATTGGAGCTGGTTCTTTTTTTGTTTCAGGTGGTACTTGATCAGTTTTCTGTTCTTCCTTGGGTTTCTCTTCTTCTTTCTGCTTTTTCCACATGAGTAGAAGACAGATTAAACAACAGCATAGTAAAACCAAAAGAGGAATCCACAAAAATGGTAGCAGGGAAGACTTCGCCCTCTGTTTACTTTGCTGTTTTCTCGGAGGGGGTGGGCCACTGTCAACACTGCCTCCATGGCCTTCCATCTGGCAGAAGGGCGGGTTCCACATATGGCTACAATGGCAGTGCTGTTTATTGTTGCAGACACCCCTCATATTGCAGACCTCAGGAACACAATCACTGAGATTCAAAGTTGTCTTGCGGACACATTGCTTCTGCATGCATATACGCCCTGGGCCACACGCTGTGCCGTCTCTGATTTCGCCAACATCAGGTATGGTCATACCGTAGTGGTAGTCAGTACCCCAACATTCAACACCATTGAAGCGAGTCCAGTGCACAGTACTATGATCTTTCAATAAAGGAATTTCCATCGCGTTCTCACACTGAAGTCTACCACACAAGGCATTTCGGAGTGTACATGTTATATATTTACTATCCTTCAGGCCACAGTTTCCAAAACGGTTACCTAGCATGTTCATAGCACTGTAGCAAGCCTGATTTGCACTCTTGGCTACTTTACCAAAAATTTGCCTGCATTGTTCTTCACGATCATTACATCTCTTTTCATAGCAGGAGCCTCCACCCGTGCAAAGGACCCCAGCCTGCACATACACATCCTCTGGGCACTGGTGGGAAGTCCCGTTGCACCACTCGGGAAGATCACATTCACTGCTACTTTCTCTACACACTTCACCGGCTGGCGCAAACTGGCAGTCCTGGCAACAGAGCCCAAAAGCACATGCAGCCCCAGGTACTAGGGTGCAGTTTTCCATACAACATGGGTCTTCTCTACACTTCAGTAAGGAGCCACAGTCACACTCCTCTTCCTGCTCGATCACAGCATTCCCACAGCGCGAGATTGAAAAGATGGGCCCTGTATATTCAAGTCTGTAGACACATCTCCATTTTGGAATCATTTGAATGTAGTAACCATAACTGCAGTTGCTGAATTTAGCTGTGACTGGACCTCTTCTACCCATTAGGCAACCTCGATCCCCACAGACACAGTAACTGTCATCATGTTTTAGACCTATAAGATGGCCAAGTTCATGGACCACATACGTTGCAACTTTAGCCTTGTCCTCAGCACTGAAGCGGATAATTCCACAACTGTAAGTTGCATGACACAGCGTAGATAAGAACGAGAGGCCAAAGACACTTACGAAGGGTCTCTTTGCTATCAAATATGCAACATCATGGGGTATACGGGGATAGAGGCCTATCTTTTTCCATGCGGCAAATTTCTTCACAGAAGCTGTCATACTGCTGGTTAATTCAAAGGGATCTGCGGTAGTCCATATCTCAACTGCAGCTAAAATCATGTCAATTCCTACTGGAATCAAATAAGTGTTTGCCATATGTGAAATAATCAACATTTGGTTTTGTAAAACTGTGACATTTCTTTCGCTGTAAAGGTACGCCTCATGGTCGAGAACTATTACCTTTACAACACTCCTTTGGTGGAGCCACCAGCCCTTATAGTCACTCTGCATCAGAGTCGAATTATCAGTCTCCAGATACTTTAATTGGCGTTCAATTTCTTCATCTGTTAATCCACACTGCATGGAAGGGAGTTCTGATTCCTCATCGACCACCTTATATACTAGATGTTCAAAGGTGGTGGAAAAGCTTTTGGGCTTGATTTCATAATTAGTGTCATCTGTCTGAAAGGTTCCTTGGAACCCTCCCAAACAGTTGTTGATAGCAACCTGCGACTCTGGGTCTCCCTCCACATAACCGTAATAGTAGCAGTCATCCCGGACAAAAGGGTGGTCCTCAACCAGAGCACCCTGGTCTGTGTACGTGAACAGGGAGAGGGAGCTGGACACCAAGAATTTCTTGAGTTTCATGTGGATAACGTGCCTCTGGCCCCCAAAGTGCAGGCTGTAGGAGACCCAGCCTGGACTCTTCATGACTCTACCTCTGCCACTTACCCTCACGGGTATCACCACTTCTGGGGGACTGTGGTGCTGACAGTTTCCAATCTGGGGCCATCCACAAAGACACAGACATGCTCCCAGCCAGAGCAGCAGGAGGGCGGTATGCTCACACCCCAGGGCCTCACCCTGGGCCATTGTATAGTAAAGATGGTGGAGCTGTGTGTGAGGAAGGGAGGGGAGGGCAGGAGGCAAGGCGGATCTGTCTCCTCTCTTTCAGGTCCTTGTTTGCTCACTGACAATGACTGATGTCCTCTTGAAAGACAATGCAACAGAGCAGCAAAAACTAAAAGAGAAAAAATGAGAACAAGGGTAGAGACAGAGGTGGCACTGTGAGAAGGAGGGAGTGTAAGACAGAGGCCAAAGATTGGGTTAACACAAATTCTTATCTTGTCACAGGACTCAATGCACAGCACTGGACTTGCTCCTAAATACTGACAAGGCAAGGTCAGACTGTTTGTGGATGAAAGAATTTCTATGGGTCTCTGGTGAATGACCCTTGAACCCTGATGAAGGACACATGGATATATTAGTGTGAAATAATTTACATGTGATCAGACATATATATATATGTGAACATTCCCAAAACGTTTTGAAAGAAAAGGGCCTTAATGAAGAGGTGAACTTACCTCTTGTTTGGATGGGGCAGTCTTGACTCATGTGTATTAACTCACCATAAACACCTCTTCCCTTTCAATGTCAAGTGATATATTATGTAGACAATTACTGAAAAGAAATATGTGAAACTAATGACAAGAATGCTCACATACAGTAGTATTTCTCTTTATTTCTCTTATAGCAGGTAACATATAATTTTCTGTAAGAAATCATTGTAGGACCTGTCTTCATCTTATCCTTTCATTTTGTACCATGTCAAAGTACCAATTGTCTCTCAAAACTAGTTATACTGGGACCCGCAGTTAGTGTAATGGCTATATCTCTGGACTCCCATGTGGTTGACCGTGGTTTGAATCCCGGGCCTTGCGGCTTAAACTCGTGCCGGGTGCATGTGCGTGTGTGCCCAAGATCCTGAGAGGAGAAAGGAGAAGGGATTGTGGCATGGCCATCCCCCCTGGGGGTTGATTTCTTGCTTTCTGTCTCTCTGTTTCTCTCTGTCTTTCTGGTGAGTGCAAGCACCCTATAGCAAAACAAAACAAAACAAAAAAACTCTCCAAATATTAAACAAAACAAAACAAAGCAAAACCAGTTGTATTCATTATAAAGAATACAGTTTAATATAAGGGTAGGGAAGTGTTGGAGGTAGAGACCTTTGTGTTGCTAGATGTTACAAGAAAACTTAATATTTTAGGCCACTTTTAAGACAGTGACCTTTTCAAAGCCTGCGGCAATATCAAATGGGCAGAAAAATCAATGTGACTGGGAAAATAACCATGAGAAATGGGAGAATAGTTAAAGTAAAATGAGAGGTCTTGAGAAATGCAAATGAATTCAATGAATTAGTAAAGAAAGCAAACCTTCTAGGATGATAAATTCTTTGGCCTGGGACAAAGGCGTCAAAATCTTTGTGACTTTTTAGGATGATAATGTACATAAGTCCAATGGTCAACAAGCAAATGCAGTTTTCTCCCAAATAAAAAATGTATATAATGTCTCGTAGAACAAATCACACAGAAAATTATCTCAATAATTTGCATGTACTGTCAGATGTTTCTGAAAATGAAAGTGTCATGCTAGTACCATGCCTGGCTATTAGTATGTCTTATTGTTCTTTTTATTATATAAAACATCATTAAAACCATAAAATATGCCAACCAGTTCTAGCACATTTGAGAAACATAGGTTGGGCATACAATCCTTAATAAGTTAATTAGCAGTCTAGAACACAAATTAAGCATAAAATTTAGGGCAAAGATATATTTTGGAAATCTATAAGACTATTTAATAATTTAAATGTAAAATGCTTAGCTTTATGTAACTAGTGAGAGAATCCATAGTCTATCAAATCATTGAAGACATGACATGAAGAATTGCTATCTTAGTTCACAAAAAAGGGAAATAGGATTGTAACATGGGCAATGAAGGACATGAACACACTGATCAATATTACTTCCTATAGAAGTCAATGCAAAAATGAAAACCGTCGGACTTGGTCCCTGTCATCTCCGGGACCCCTGACCCTTTACTCCTTCAGTTTACTTTAATGTGATTTGTAAGTGCTGACCTTCTTCACTCTGGAGTCATTGTGTTAGCACTTGTGAAATCTTCCTTTTATGAAAAGCAACCCTAGTCGCTTCACAATTTATGGCTCTTTGTGGATTGTTCCTTATTCCTACTGACTTTTTCAACAATGTCTTGTATCTCCATAACGTGAAGCCCTCTGTATTGTGAGAACCTTCTATGTGATAGACACAACAGTTTGATCACAATCGCCTGTGATTACCAACGTCACTTCAAACACTAACCTGGCAGCTGTGTCATCAGAGCACTGCTGGCCTTTGTAGTGCTGCCTCCATGTCACCCTGCACGAACAGCACGGAACTGGGGTCTGATCTGTTTTCACCGCTCTGTCAATAATCTTGCCTGTGTACACACCATGCACACGTAAGCAGCATGTACACTACCTCCATTTGTAAATGTTTTGTGATTTAATTATATTTTTAGATGTACTTTTTAAATATTTTATGTTAACTTACTCTCTCTCTCTTTCTTTCTTTCTTTCTCTCTTTCTTTCTTTCTTTTTTTCTTTCTCTCTCTCTCTCTTCTTCTTTATTTCTTCTATCTCTTTAACCACTGAAGACAGAGAGAGAGAGAGAGATCAAGAGAGAGAGAGAGAGAGAGAGAGAGAATTAGAAAGCAAGCCACCAGGTCCAGGACTCAAAGCTTGGTTGGGAGCATGGGAGTGCAATGTTCTTAATCACCATGTTACTTTTAGCCCTTTAATGTAATTTTTAAAAATAATTATATCTTTACCCATTTATTTATTTTAATTTGAACAGAGAGGGAGAGAGAGAGAGAGAGAGAGAAAATGAGAGAGCAAGCTGACAAGTCTGGGACTCGAACTGCGGTTGGGCATGTGGGAGTCCATTGCCCTTAACCACTCTGCCACCTGCTGACCTTCCTAAATGTACTTTCTTTTGTTTGTTTGTCTTTTGTTTTGGAGAAGTTTTTGCTATAGGGTACGTGTGCTTGCCAGAAGGACACAAAGAGACAGAGAGATAGAAAGCGAGAAATCACCCCCAGGGGTATGGCAATGTCACAATTCCTTCTCCTGCATTCTCCTCTCGGGATCTTGGGCACGCATGTACATGCACCCGGCATGAGTTTAATCCACCAGGTCTGGGACTTAAACTGCGGTCAATTGCATGGGAGTCCAGTGACATAGCTATTTTGCTAACTGCTGGTCCCCTAAATGTATTTTTAACCTAATTTTTTTTGAGAGGTTTTCACTGTAGGGCGCGTGCTCTTGACAGAAAGACAGAGAGAAACAGAAAGACAGAAAGCGAGAAATCACTCCCCCAGGGGAGATGGCCACGCCGCAGTCCCTTCTTCTCCATTCTCCCCTCGGGATCTTGGGCACACATGCACACGCGCCTGGCGTGAGTTTAAGCCACCAGTTTCAGGACTTGAACCACAGTCTACTATATGGGAGTCTAGTGACATAGCCATTACGCTAACTGCTGGTCC